CACCTTCAGGGAAATTTGGGGCATAAGTACTATCACACTACTTAACTGCCAAAAAGCCAAAACCTAATTTTAGCTTTAACCTTCTATATCATCAAGATTGTTATTAAAGACACTGGCCAGCTATCAAGATGACTATAAAACACCATACACTTTTATATCCTCTAATCCTGTCCACTTTTTTGATTAAAAAAATAAAAGATATAAATGTGAAATGATCAAAAGACAGGAACACAAGGAGACAAGAATGTCTGAACCAGAAGGCACCTCCAAGATTATCGAATACGATATTCTTATTTCACAACTAAGGAAGCTGAGACCTAACTATCTCTAAATTAGGTTCACGACGAACTGGGATCCAGGTCTGTGTAACCTTCCACTAGAATAAGAAAGAAAAGGCAATCTGTGAGAAAGAAGGAAACACACACAGAATAGTCTGTGGGCTCCAGGAAAGTAGCTGGGGCAGGCTGCCGACTACCCTCTGTGCTTTCTCTTCTGCTTATCTGTGGCAGACACACAGCCAATCGCCCAAGAGACACCTCCTCCCCTCAAACTTGCGAAGAGTCCCGGTTCCTCCCGGACAGCAAGCAGTGTCCAAGCCTAGGAAATGAAACACGGTGTGCGTTACACCAACCCCGGCACCCACTCCTGTGGGACAGACACAGACAACAATTCAAGCAAACGCGACGTCAGACAAAAAGGGGATGGAAGCTTCTGGGAGAGATTTTGTTTTCCGTCAGGCAAGCACTGGAGTAGGAACTACTTGCTCTTGCCTACTTCCTCCTTCGTGCCTTCGAAAGAGATATGATGCGACCACTGAGGCGGCCATTTTGTGGCCTGGTGGAAGTATGGAAACACGCAAAAGGCGGCTGAGAACCTGGCGGAGGACTCTGCGGAGCAGGTGGATCGCCCGAGACCACCTACTTCTGAAGTTCCCTGAAGTTTTCTGAAACACACAGTAATAAACGGCTTACGGTTTAAGCCTCTTCTTTGGCTTTCTATTAACTACTGCTGAAAGCAGTACTGAATTTAAAAAAATTTTTTTTCTGGGCAGTTCCCTGACGTTCCAGGGGTTAGGATGAGCACTTTCACTGCCAGGGGCCCTGGGTTCGATCCCCAGTCAGGCAACAAAGATCCAACAAGCAGCATGGCACAGCCAAAAAAAGATAAAATCTTGTGTGCCCTGTTGTAATCTTCCTGCCACATCACTACCATTAAAAGTGTTTATTCTGCTCATATACATGCCACTAAAAAAAGTGTTATATTTCTCCTGCATAATTAACAGCATGCGTGCATACTAAGTCACTTCAGACATGTCCAACTCCTTGCGGCCCTATGAACTGCAGACCCCCAGGCTCTTCTGTCCATGGGATTCTCCAGGCAATACTGGAATGGGTTGCCAGTGGTCTCTCCAGGGGATCTTCCTGACTCAGGGATCGAACTCGAGTCTCATTTGTCTCCTGCATTGGCAAAAGGGTTCTTTACCACTAGCACCACCTGAGAAGCCACACATAATTAATAGAGACCAGTTCAATTACTTTATAGTTACAAAACATCTCAACTATGACCCTATTAAAATAAATGTCATCAGTAGACAAGACATAAGGGAAAGAAACATGACTGAATCATTTTTTCTTGATTATGACTTTGATCCTTCCCTCTGCTATCTCAAACCCTTTTTGGAAATGAGTATCACATAAATAACAAACTGATGAATAAGATTTATTTGAACTAAACTCTTCTGCTCCTTTAATCATAATTGCTGCTTCAGTTGCTTCAGTTGTATCCAACTGTTTGTGACCCCATGGACTGTAGCCTGCCAGGCTCCTCTATCCATGGGATTCTCCAGGCAAGAATACTGGTGTGGGTTGCCATGCCTTCCTCCAGGGAATCTTCCCAACCCAGCAATGGAACCCAGGTCTCATGCATTACAGGCAGATTCTTTACCACTGAGCCACCGGAAAGCCCTTAATCATAACTGTTAGTAAGTGATTAAATATTAAAATTTCATTCTTGAATTTACAGCCCCCAAAGTGGCCGAGTCAATATTTTCACATATGGATGCTTGTAATGGAAGCCTGGAGACTTACCAGTACTACACCAAATTCATGGCATTGCTGTTTTCTCCTTTACAGGTTATAATAATAGAATTTGAATACTGATAAGACATTAAAAGTCAGACTACCCAGTACAGCTATTTCAATAGTAACTTTAACTGTATTTTGATGGAACTCTGTCAAATATATGTTCACCTCCATGACCCCAGTTGCACCCACCTCTGTACTTTCCTAGGTCCCATTTTTCTGTGTTCACCCCACAATATTCCTCTGGCTCCCAACACTCATCTCCACGCTGCCCACAGCCAGTTCAGCTCTGCCTACACCAGCTCTGTGATCACTAACATCTACTCCACTCACAGCCTCCCTGGTTGAAAGAACAGACAACAGCCACAAACATCTCTTCTCTCAAGGATGCTACCATCTTTTCCCTGCTGTCATTCAAGGAATGAAACGGCTGAGGACCCTGGTTTTGAGCACAGATAAAAAGGAATATGAATATATAGATTTATATGAATGATGTATGTGGGCTCAGTGCGTTCTTAACTTAAAAAACAAAACAGAACCGAGGCTTTTTTCCTTTTTTTTGTAGGCTATAAAGCACTTTTGGGCTTCCCAGGTGGCTCAGAAGTAAAGAATCTGCCTGCCAATGCAGGAGACACAGGAAACGCTGGTTCGAACCCTGGGCTGGGAGATTCCTGGAGGAGGAAATGGCAACACATTCCAGTATTCTCGCCTGGAGAATCCCATGGACAGAGGAGTCTGTCAGGCTACAGTCCACAAGGCTGCAAAGAGTCAGACACAACTGAGCGCACACACACACGAAAGCGCTTTTATTGACTCCTCCTTTGTGTCTACCCTTCACCCACCACTCTCCGAGGTTACTTAATCTTCTCCCCTTGTGGATTCAGGACCACATGGCTCATCCCACACAACAGCAGGTTTCCTTCTTCCCAACAAGTTAATCAGCTAAGATGGAAACATTGTTTTTTTGGTACAGATTGTCTATGTTAGACTACTCTAAAAGTATGTTAGAACACGGCACCAGTTTATATCAGCAATATCAAATTCTCATGATTTACCCTGAAACTACCATGCTGATATCTCCTCTGATGGCACAAAAGCAATGAAAGGCAAAACTGCTGGCACTGTAGCATCAATTATGACAAGGGTCCAAACTGTACTACCAGGAATTACATTCTTCACAGTCTGTCAATCACTTTTTAAAATATTGATTTTATATTATTTATTTGGCTGTGCCAGGGTCTTAGTTGCAGCATGCAGGAAAGGCATATGGGATCTAGTTCTCTGACCAGGGATCAAACCTGGGCTCCCTGAATTGGAAGCATGGAATCTGAGTCACTGGACCACCAGCAAAGTCCCTATCAATCTTTTTTTTTTTTAATAATTTATTTTTTATTGAAGGATGATTGCTTTAAAGAATTTTGTTGTTTTCTGTTAAACTTCAACCTGATCAGCCCTAGGTATACATATATCCCCTCCCTTTTGAACCTCCCTCCCATCCCTCTCCATCCCACCCCTCTAGGTTGATACAGAGCCCCTATTTGAGTTTCCTGAGCCAAATAGCAAATACCCATTGGCTATTTATTTTATATATGGTAATATGTTTCCATGTTACTCCTTCTCCTATCAATCATTTTTAAAAAGCCAGTTTCACTTAACAATGTCCTTGATAAAATAGTAAAAGTTATTAATTATTAAATCTCACTCTTGAGAACTTGATCTTTTTAATAATCCGTGTAATGAAATGGGAGCATTTCATCATATCTAATATGTACAAAAAGCATTTCTACATACCTAATACAATGGCCATCTTAAGGAAAAGCATTTATGCAATTGAGTTGTGAGCTGAACTATACACTTTTCCATAGAATACCATTTCTGCTTAAAGAATGGCTGGCAGAGAAGTTATTATTATGTATAGTTATTCAGACTTAGGTACTTGGCAGACATTTTCTCTAAAGTAGATACAGTGAGCCTGACACTTCAAGGAAAGAACTGACAATACCTGCTGCTGATGATAAAATTTGAGTTTTCAAGAAAAAATCAGAATTTTGGAAAACTTGAACTAGATACCAAAATCTTGACTGCTCCACAATTCTAAAGACTTTTTGGATGAGATTAATGGTTGTATTGATGAATACTATGTAAACAAATGTGTCAACATTTGAAAGATCTGCAGAACTCAACAATTACTTTTAAAATGACCAGTGTACAATGTTATAAAATCACAAGCTGGTTAAAGATCCATCCAAAGTGCAAGATGGACCAATAGATTTTTCCATTACGGAGTAGCACAAAAAATTCATTGACAATGTTCAGATTCAACACCACAACTAACTCTTAAGAACATCTTTCTTAAAAAAAAAAAAAAGAGGCAAAGGGGGAAAAAAAAGAATCTACCATTTGCTGAGTCTTGACATATTAAAAAATATATACAATTACATGAAAAAGACACTAAAATACCCCACCTTTTCTCTACTATGTATCTGTGTTTAAGTGGGGTTTCTTCATATATTTCAAACAAAGCAACATATCACAATAGGCTGAATGCAAAAGCAGCTATGAAAAACACCAGTGGTCTTCTATTAAGCAATGCATTAGAGAGTGGCAAAACATAAAACCATCTCACACTTATCACTGTATTTTTGTTTTGGGAATATTTTTTCAATAAAATATGTTATTCATGTTAACCTTTCATGAGTTTGTTGTTTTTAAGTGAATAAGTATTTTAAAACATTTCAGACTTTTAATTTCTAATATGTTAAATATTGATACAATCCACATAAACAAAAGATCTTTGGGGCGTTAATAATTTGTAAAGAATGCAAAAGTGTCCCAACACCAAAATGTTAGAAAACCTTTGGTTTTCAACACCACAAAAAAAGAGTGCTTATATGCATGTGTATATAAGAGAACAGGCACCTGAGAAGGAGTCAGAAGGTCTAGGCTCCAGGTCCACTTGCTTCAGGATTTGGATAAATTAACCTAAGGTCTTAGTTTCTTCATCTGTGAAATGGATTATTCATGTCTTGTTCTGAGGATTAAAGACAAAATATGTCAGAACAGTTGATACAGTACAGGTATACTGTTTTTGTTACAAGATCTCAAAGTTAAGAGTTTTAACCTTGTGACCATATCTCTAAACAATTCTCTATTCTTAAATTACTTTGCTAAATGCAGAACTTACAGAAAATGCAAAGTGGAGATTTTTTGATTAGTCAATTAGTTCAAATGTCCAACCACATAACTTTACTGTATTAAATTTAGCCCTTGACAGTTATAATTGGTAATGTGTATATTCTAATTATTACAGATATTTCCAAATACACACAGAAGTACAGAAAATTGTAACAAACTCCCATGTACTCTTAAAAATTACCAAAAAATTGCCAATATTATTTCAGTTCATAGGAAATGTGTCTATGCCTATTCTGATGTTTTTAAAAACAAGTATTAGGCATCATTTCATTTTGTCTATAAATACTCCCATATGTATCTTTTTAACAGATGAGAATTTAACATAACCCCAATACCATTAACATAGAAATGAACTCTATAGTTTTATTCTTAAATATCACCTAAAACATGCAATGCTAAGTCACTTCAGTCGTGTCTGACTCTTTGCGACCCCATGGACGGTAGCCCATCAGGCTCCTCTGTCCATGGGATTCTCCAGGCAAGAATACTGGAGAGGATATTGTAAAGTAATTAGCCTCCAACTAATAAAAATAAATGTAAAAAAATAAATAAATAAAACACTCAAAAAAAGAATACTGGAGAGGGTTGTCATGCCCCTCTCCAACCTAAAACATACTCTATGTTCTAGTTTCCTGATTGTCTCCCCAAAAAAAGTCTTCATTAGTTTTCAGTTGTTCTGTAGGATCAAAATGTTCTCAACAATTCAGTTACAAGTAATACAAGATTTTCAGCTAAAGACAAGAACGAAGCAGAAATAACACCATGCTCTATATACATGTACGGTTTACAAAATCAAGTCAAGAACTATTCTCCAGGGAAATGTGCTTCTTCTCCAACAAAACAACGGACAAAAATAACAAGAGACACCCACCACAAAAAAGGCCAAACTGGGGACACGTCAGTACTCTGAGAAATGACCAGAAGAGGACACACTCAGCTGATCAGGAAGGGCAGGGACTGTAGGAAGCCACCACCTGCCCTTTTGGAAAAGATGGGGTCGGACCAGCCCCATGGTCAGGCAGGCTGGAGGGAAGGTCAGGGTCTGGGTTCCAGAGTGACAGTACGGCTCAAACAAGCCCACTATCCAAAAGGCTGGATGGCAACCACCTGCAGTTTCAACCCAGAGCTCAAAAATCAGTACTCTGGGACTTCCCTGGTGGTCCAGTGGTTTTAAGACTCTGTGCTCCCAACACTGGGGGCACAGGTTCGATCCCTGGTCAGGGAACTAAGATCCCACATGTCACATGGTACATCCAAAATAAATTAATTAAATATGAAAAGTTAATTGTTACAAAACAACAACAGTGTTCTAAGCTAGAAATAGAATGCAAATATCATCAAAATAAACTACCTGTGACAATTCAATTTATTCAACAAACATCTGTCAAAAAAGTCAATTCTACTAGGCACATCTTAGGATATGAGCTACAGTAGTTTTGTGTATAATTATTCAGTGAAACAATAAGCAACATATACTTCTCTACATATTACTTTCCCCATTAATTTTAAGGGGAAGAACAGACAAATTTAATATTAATACCTTGCCACATACATGACAATTTATAGTGCAAAACCTGCAATTTGGCCCACCCCTCACCCAGACATTAAAACATATGAATTCTACTGTCCTTCCCAAATACTTTTCAAGATTACACATCACATTAGCTTTTATCATATACATCACAGACTCCGAGCATTTACATCTACAATTTCTTTTCTAAATGGAGTATTTAGTTGAAGATTGACATGTACACACTGCTATATTTAAAATGGATAATCAACAATGACCTAGTGTAGCGCACAAAGAACTCTGCTCAATGTTATGTGGCAACCTGGATGGGAGGGAAGTTTGGGGGAGAATGGATACATGTATATGTGTGGCTGAGTCCTTCCAGGGTTCACTTAAAACTATCACAACACTGTTAGTCAGCTATACTCCAACATAAAATAAAAAGTTAAAAAATAAATAAATAAATGGACTATTCAGAAGGAAATCAAGGAAAGGCTAAAGAATCTCCCACCTCCTCTGAAAATCGTTTTCTTTTCCATAGGCTTATCCCAAGTGTGTCAGAATGAATTGTAAATGAAAACTGGTCATATGCATATAGAAAATTTTAAGAGATGTGGTTCTAAAGGCACATAAATCCTTTCAGGAACCCTTTACCTCAATTCTACTTATCAGGTTTTTTTTTTGTTGTTTGTGTGTGTCTTTTTTAAGTTTAAAACTACAGAAAAAGTGGAGAAGGAGAGAACACATTTCTTAAAGAATGCTTAAGAAGTACTTCATGAATGTGTTCCAAAATATGAAAGAGTCACTAACGAATGTTTTAGCTGACGCTATAAAGGACATCTTGTCAATAACAACAAAAGCTGGCAGTCAGACAGCTGCAGAGTCCAGACTTCCCCACTTCAGAACTGACACTCTTGTATCAGGTCTACTATCTGCAGAAAGACAGTAAAAGTCCTAAGTTTAAGATAATATTTCCAGTGAGACCACTAAGTCCCCTACCAACCTGTAAGGAGAATAATTAAGTTCACAGAGCACAACGCAGCCCAAATGTACCCTGAGACGAGGCCTGGAGGGAATGTCACCCTTGACCTCATTTTCTGGTAACTAAGCTGAAGAGCCGACTTATACTTTCTGCCCACCTTCAGTTTTGTGTGCCCTCATACAAGGTATCATCAAAATAAACTGTCCTTGGAGTTTAGCTTCCCTTTATAGCACTGTTATTACTGTTCCTAATGGAGAATATACCTAAGTATACAGCCCAATACATCACAACTCTAAGTAAACTGGAAAGAATGACATTAACCTCACTGCAAAAACATGAGGTTTTTAGCAGACAACAGCAGCAGAACTGCATAAAAATTGTTAACGAGGAGCTGAAAACTCAAAGCCTGCATGCTTCCATCTACAAAATATTATGTAGATTTCTTTTAAAAAATTGGTTAAAGATGGAGTCGATGACTGTGTAGATGTGTATTCAAATTGGTTTGGGCTGCAAATAAATATTAAAAAGTTAAATCATTAACATTATTCACCAGGCATATCACAGGCAAAACAGGTCATTCACAAAGTGAGTAGGGCTGTAATGAGCACTCTGTAATTTCCTTGTTTCTGATCATTCCTATTTTCACAAGACATCACTCTCTGACATCAGATTTTCCATGAAGTGTTTACTTGTTTATTGCCCTTCTCCCACTAGAATGTAAATTCCATAAGGGCAAAAACCTTATCTTACTTTCCACTCTTTGCCGGGTTCAGAGAACAGTGCCAAGCACACAGCAGAGGTTCCAAACAGATCTGCTGAATGAAGGGGTGGTTGAATGGCTGCCCCCTGCCCCTCCCCTTCCTCTCCTCCTTACACTGGTTAACCATCCTTTGAGGTCAGGGTCAAATTCTACTACCTCTATGAAAAACATCTCCCATTGCTCCAATCATACCATGAACGCCACCCCTGCCTGCTGTCTGATAACTGTTTATCTTTGCATTTGTATATAGCTCCCTTAAAATTCTCATAATCCTCATTAAGGGCATGGACCCATGCCCCTACGTTTCAGTATCCACCTAAGGACCCATACATAGTCTACCACTAATAAATGCTCTGCTTGACTGACTCATACCTATAGTTAATCCAGAAATCAATTGAGTTAATAGGTTCACCTTTTTATAACCTAACCCTTCCTTTCCAATAACTCAACTGAAATTGCAGTGGGTCCCCTCTAGTTTAAACTTATTTTTGGCAACTTCAAGCTTTACATTCTCATACATGTAACTGTAACTGCTCATAATTCACTTTATCCATCCCTCCCCCAAGATTAATTTTTGTATATAATTTAAAAAAAAAAAAACCTTGTGACTTTTTTGGTGATACCTTCAAATGAAGTATCTAACCCCAATCAAGAAGGAAGTTGGAGTTTCATTACTTTCTTCCTGTTGCTGAGGTAGTGGAGGATATTTTTTTCTTTTTATGCCTTTTTCCTTTCATGTCAAGATGGATCCCATTTCCTTCTTTCCTGATCATAGCCCTGGCAAGTTTTTCTTATTGCTTTGTACCTGTCCTTGGTAATCTGCCTTAGATCCTCCCTTCTGAGCCACTCCTGTTTCCTCTAGTCACTTATTTGATCAGATTTCAAACTTTTCAAATGAGACTGGCCTCTTCTTAAAGCTTGAGCCTGCTTCTTTAAATCTGGCCATTCCTTCACAAAGGCAACCAAACCCCGGTCATCTGGGCTAAATGAAATGTACAAAAATATCAGATTATCCACAACACAAGAAAATCAGAAAAAAATTGACATCTGGCTTTGGAATATACCATGTGGCTTTGGGCAAGATTTACTTTCTTAAAGTTTTTGCTTAAGCCATCACCGTTAGTAACAATGTCTTTTACCATAGTGAAATATCTGTCTCAATTTTAAATTTTGATGCAGTTTTTTCAAAAAGCCAATCAAATATCAGCTGAGGTTTTTCCTATAAGTCTTTAACTCGTTTTTTCAATCTGTTGAAAACTATCATAAAATCTGGTTTCTGTTTCCCCTGATTTATTTCCTCCCTGTTCCTGGGCTTCTGATCCAAATCAGCTTACCCTATATTAATTTACTTCTTTAATTTAAAGTACCATTTGCTTGAGAATGAAAAGCATTCTAATAACACTAAATGTCTAATGAAATTTTCAGTCCCAATAACACTGGATAGAAGACTTTTTTTTTTTTTTTAAAGCTACTGCAGGAAAAGTTGGGTTTCTAGGATAAATGACACTGGTAATTCTAGCAAATTTATATTTAGTGGGTTACTATGATTGGCTGAAAAATAGAAAAACATTAACTTTAAACAGCTATGCAAGTCAGCTTTGTCAATATATAATCCCATAGGCCAAAAACTATGAAATTAAATTCTCAATACAGGCATTTATAGAAAAGAGCATCAAAACAAACTAATACATCAACCCTGGCCCCTTTTCCTGACCCCAGCCTAAACCCTGCACAATCTCACACTTGATTGCTGCTGCCTCACTTCCACAAATGAGTTTTTAATGTTTAAGAAAAAGGAAAAGAACTAGGTTAACAGGTTCTTCTCTTTTGCCCCCTTTTCAGCTTCTGTCATTGAGCTCTTGGCCAAAGAGATCCCTAATCCTCAATTTTACATGACTGTTTTCACTTTACAGGTATTCAATTATTTTAAATTCAAATGGACACTTACAAAGCACTTGAACCTACTCTTTTTCATGTTAATCACCATATTACCAGCAGAATTGAGAATAAACTCATTTTTGCGGTTCCCCCTCATAAAGAACTTTGGGAAGTACAAATTATTTTACCTAAAAACCAACTTTTGGGCTGGTGTCTTTTAGGCCAAGTTTTTATATAGGATGTTAAATGTTAATCCCCAAAACTTTTTTAAACAAGATTTCACAGTCATCAAACTCAGTTAAGTTCCAGAACTTTACTTAAAAAATAAAAACAAACTTAGGATGCCCAGTCACACTTTGACTAATATACACAGACAAAGCCCCAAATTCTCAGTTTTTCAATGTACCTTCTCCAGACTGCAGCACAAGTCTCAATTAACTACAACCTCCCAAGCTGTTTGTCCACCATACACATCATTTCTCAAAGAAAAATAATTCCCAAGTGACTGATTCAACTGGTAAGAATTCTTTCCTTCTTTTAAAAATTTACCTTAACTTCAAAAATCTCTTTTCTTGATGGAGTTCACGAGTATAAATCCTCTAAGGAAAACAGTTGTCACCTATGTGCGCTCAAAACTTGAGTGGCTTAAAGAGGCATTTTCTGACAGTCTAAGTTCCCCAAATACTAGTCATAAGGTCTTTCATGGATGGTAAATTTCACACACACACAAAAGAAACACACACACACACACAAAAGAAAGGAAAGAAACATACCTGGTCATTTTCTAAACAGGTTTGATAGGTTTGGTTCCCTTGTAAGAGTAGAGTATTTACTTATAATCTTTTAAAGCACAAGGGGCAGCCAGGAGAGTGGGTAAATAAAACCTTCAGAGAGGTTTAAAAACCCTACATCTTAACTCACTTCCCCTTGATTTCAGGGGCCGGTACTGCAAAGCCCACGGCAAATGAGATTATGTAACAGGTTTTTCCTCTCTCCACTTTATTCATCACGGGCTGATTGGAGGTGTGCTTTCTCCAAACGAGTTGAGACTCCTAGGACTTTATTTAGGACGGCTGAAGTTGAGGTTTGATACATTTCCTTAGGATTTTGCAGGATCCATTCATTTAAATATCTATTTGTATTTTTCTCAAGTGAGAAAACACAGTAACAGTGTAGTTGCTGTTGTAATTTCAAGGAAATAAACGCAGCTGCACCTGAAAACTTCCGTTTTGCACAAATATTTTCCTCCCCTGTGTTTCATTCCATGAAACTGCACATGATATACACAGACCTTCACTCGTCTCCCGGGGCTTCTTCCTTTCTCACGTTTTACGGTTGGTGCAGATAAAGAAATCGTCTCTGGCGCACCGGGCCCCCCAACACCCGGCCTCGGGGGGAGAGGGGGGGTCCCCGGAGGAAAAGCCAGTGTGTTGAAAAGCGCAGCCCGGTCACCACTCAGGTGGCCCCGCCGCTCACACGGAAGGCGAGCTGGGGATAATGGGGACAGTCAGGCCGGGGCCCCTCTTGGCAGGCGTGTTGTGTAACAGTCGCGCCTGGAAGTGAGCAGCTTGGCCCGCGAAGGGACCGCGTCCGGCGGCGGCTCCTGGCGGCGGCACCCGGCCGCCCGGCCCGCTCGGCCCGAGCCCGCGCGC